CACTCCAGAAAGGATGAATGCTATCAAGAAATCAACCAATAAAAATGCTGGTGGGGATATAGGGAAAAAGAAATCCCTCTCCAATGCTGTAGGGAGTATAGGCTGGTGCAACCACTATAGAAATCAGTATGGAGATTCCTCAAATAACTAGGATTAGAGTTCTCATTTTACCCAGGTATTCTCACCCTGGGTGTCTTCGCAAGAATTAAAAGAATCACAACACAGCCACATATGCACATCCATGTATATAACCACACAGTTTGCAATAGCTAAATCTTGGAAACAGCCCAAATGCCCATCAACTAGTGACTGGATAAAGATGTGTTTTTAAAAATAAAATGGAGTACTACTCTTCCATATAGAATGATAAATTAGAGACATTTATAGATAAATGAATGCACCTTGAGATGATACTCTAAGTGAAATAAATAGGGAACACATGTGCAAATTTCAAATGGTTTCTCTGGTGTGAGAAATTAAAGTGTAAATGAGTACCGAAATGTATAATAGATAACGTTAAATAGGAAGAACTTGCAAGCCAAGGACCTGAGTTCAATTCCTGGTAGCAAAAATAAATAAATAAATAAATAAATAAATAAATAAATAAATGTTAAATAGGAAGAAAAGGTCCAAAAGGGAAAGCAAAGTAGGGAAGGGTGTGGAGGAAAGGAAATGAAGGAAAGAAAAAATGAGTAAAGTAGAAAAAAATATAAACAATGTTTTTTTCAATAGAGAGGGGTAGAGGTGTTGAAGGGAGGGGAGAGGAATGGGGAAAAAATAAGAACAAAGATCTATCATGTACATGTACAAATTCCCAATGATGAATGTAATCATAATGGATACCTAAAATGTGCCAACAAACTCAATGAAGAAAAAAATGCATACTAAGGCTTAATGAATGTTAATATGCATTTTAAAGGCTATAATTAAAAAGACTAATGCAAATAAAAGGCTACAAAAATGCGTAGGAGCTTAGAATTCTCATACACTGTTGGAAAATATTTATTTATTTATTCATTTATTTTGTATATATTTTTATTGGTACATTTTAGGTGTAAAATATAATGACATTCATCACTGGAGATATGCACCTTTACATACTCTCTTAGTTCTTATTTTTCCCCCTTCCCCTGCTCTCCCTTCAACCCCTCTATCCTTCCCTATTTACAAAGACTATGTTTCCATTTTTTCATTTTCTCATTAATTCCATTCCCTTCTTTCCTTTCCCCTATCCCTCCCACTTCCCCCTCCCCTTTGCCCCTTTTCTTCCTATTTCACATTATCTATTATACGTTTTAGTCCTCATTTACATTTTCAGTTTCTCACACCAGAGAAACTATTTGGTATTTACACATGTGGGTCCTATTTATTTCACTTAAGAGTATCACCTCAGTGTGCATCCATTTAGCAATAAATGTCTCTAATTTATTGTTTTTGATGGCTGAGTAGTACTCCATTTTATAAAAAAATCAATCATCTCCATGTTAACCTCTCTTGTACATACAAAGTAATGTCTAGCAATCAACTAGAATAAATAACCTACCTGTGGCAGCAAACATAAGAGAAATGTAAAAAACAAGTAATTTGTCTTATAAAGCATCTATGGAATGATAAAATTTACATAGATTTAAAAATACCACTGTAGGGATGGAGACCTGTAGGTAGGGAGAGATGAGGGAGACCCCTGGAAGGAGTTTAGACAGATGGTTAAACAGGCTTAACCACCTGTGAAGAGCTGACATCCTGAGGTCACACTTCCTCTTTACATTGTACCCGCCAAAGCTAGGCTTGCAAAAGTTAAAAGGAAAAGAAGAAAACCTGACCTTAAAGTGTGAAAAGCCCCCCAAGACCCTTCCCCATCTTCCCTAGTAATCAGCCAAAGGACCGATCAAGAAGGAGCACCTTCTGCCAGAGATAGGATAGGCCCCCGACTACTATAAAGTCAATACCTCAAGCCCCAGTTCAAGATTGGCTCCTTTTCAGGCACCCGTCTGTCTCTGAGAGAAGGCAGCTGTATTCTTGCATGCTTGCTGAATAAAAGTACAAACTTTTCTTCTATGCGTTTGACCTGGATCTGATTCTTCCGAGTGGTTGGGAGAGTCAGACCCCAGATGGCAGGGACTCTTCTCCCATCTCCGCCCACAACATCGCCAATATTAATTCTTAATTTCTTATATTTCAAATACAAAAAATAACACTTCAAAGGCACTAAAGACCAAGGTATATACCAGTCATGAGCCAAAATGAACAAGTGGAAGGAAAAAGGTGACATGCAGTTGACCTCCAGGTGAGGGAATCAACCAAAGCCAAGTTCTTCATCTCTCACTCTTGCTCCCTACAGACTTGCACTGCCCTGTAATCACATGAGACTACACATGTTGATTAATAAGAAGCTTTGGATATTGAAGCCCAAGGGCCACAGAGAATGCAAATAGTCTACCTGTGGCTGTGCCCCCACAGCCTTGTGCAGGACCAGAGGCAGCACCCCTGACCTGGCTCAGTGACCAGCATTTCTACGCAGGAGCCAGGTGATTCTGTATCTTTCCATGTTCTCCAAGAACAGAGCACCCATTTATCTCCATCACACCCAGCCAAGATCTGAATGTCCTTCCTTAGTGTTGGCATCCAGGTAATGTTAAGTCTGGTGCTTTACCTTTTATTGATAGTGACAAGTGCCTGTCTATCAATCCCTGTTGTGGGCTAGGAGATGAGACATGAGGAACATGAGCAGAGCTAGGTCAATTGTGTGGCATATGCATAATTATCTTCAGATGTTTTCCTCTTGTATGCAGCAATATTGGAGCAGTTTTCATTCTGTTTATGTCTAACTCTAATCCTCAGTTACTCACCTTGAAGGATATTCTCTAATTCTTTGTCCTATATTTGGTAAGTTGCAAAGGTATATGGATAGCTCTTTTTACTGTTCCCTTTCCTGCCTCATTATAAAACACATCCTTCACTGACACTTTTACTGGTTTATGAATTTTTCACAAGACAGTAGGTGAAGAGGAAAGCAGATCCCAACGCATATTAGCTTGCATGTTGGTCTACAAAATACTGAGAATTTAAAAGACTGAACAGCACAGAAAAAAAAAACCAGAACAAATAAATGCATATCCTTGCATCTAGTAGTAGCCAGGGTTAATATTTTGTGTGGAGAGTCCTTTCCTTTAAACAACAAAAAACATGCATAAACTTAGCAGTTATGCTCCACTGCATCTTCCTTCTTTATGCAAAAATATTTAACTTGATCATCCTTCATATGTCCTTTTATTTTTTACAGATTGCACAATGTTAAATAACAATATGAGTCTGTCCATAAATATGTATGATGTACATATATGTGTGTGTACATATGGAATGTATTGATATATAATGTGATGTAGTAAGGCATTAATATAAGACAAATTCATTAAAGTTAATCATACAAAAGAGTACCAAAACTAAAAGCTGATTAAATACACTGTTTTTGACCAATCAATGAAAAAAAGCCCTGTATAATAAATAATGCTTTGATATTTAAAACAAGAAGGTGATTTGCCTTACATGTGAAAACTTTAAAACAAGTTCACCTGAAAGTAGGCTAATGAGTAGTAGTTACTGGGAAGAATTTGGAAGGGAAGGGTAATAGAATAGTGCATAACTTTGATCAGTACATTCTGTATGCAAGTATGAAAATGTCACACTAAACCCAAGTAATATATGCAACTATTACACATTCAATTTTTAAAAAGAAAAAAGAATATGATGTATAGATAGAATCACAGTATTGAAACTATAGAGGGATCATCAATATCAATTTCAGTGTGGTTAGTGGTTGCATGGGGAAGGGTATACATGATTCTCATGTGATAAATAATATATAAGTGTAAATATGCATTCTCTAATTTAACAATATATAATGTAAACATGGTGATATAATGTCAAATAATGGAGCATGGTGCACATTCAGGTCTCTTGCTTTTGATATCTTTTTTTGAATACTTGAAATATTTTATAATATTTAATAATTTAACATTTGTGATATTTCAAAGCATTTATATATTAACATGTTCTAAATGTCCTCCTATGCAATTAGTTTTTGTTTCATATTTTTAATATTTTGGTGGCTACATCTAGATCTGCTTTCTTTTCTTTTTTTTATTCAGTACTGGGGATCAAACTCAAGACCTTGTGTTTGCCAGGCAGGCATGGCTCCAGTGAGCTACATCCTCAACATTTAGGACTGCTTTATTTATTCTAAATGCTAGACAATTTATTGAATAAACATAGAATGTAGATGGATATCATTGATGTTCATTGACTTGTGCACTTTTCTTGCTTCTTTATATATGCAAGATTCTCAGTCGGAGTTTCAGTACACTGATTCTTTCCTCCAATGTGTGGTCATCAAACAAAAGGTTTATCTTAAATAGTGTTCTCTGCACCTTCTCTTTTTACATTTTCTCCTTAACATCACTTCCTCTTGTTAGCAATTTTAGCAGACAGTTCATTTGTATCCATGACAGAAACAGATCACAGTAGAAGTTTTCATTTTCATCTCTGCAACATACCCATAACATTTTTCAATGGTTTTCCCATTATACAAGTGAGGACACTGTGCCTTCTCATACAATTTAAAAATTTTCTCATTTACAAAGCAAGCACTGGAGCACTTCTTTCTCAGTTAAAATATTGATTTTGGCAGTTATTGTCGATTTAGATTTAGTACAGTTTGCTTTTAGGTTTTTTGCTAATTTAAGACCTCGTGGCAGATACTCAAGAGAAAAGCCACATATATATTGTTTCATATTTGATTCCTATTAGTTGGTACAAGGTTTTCAGCAACTAAAATTTGTATAATCAGGAGAATACAGGGGATGGTAAAAAAGGTGATAAATGAGAGATAAGAAGAAGGTGAAAAGATTAGCAATTTTACTTCACTTAACAATATACCTTTCTAAAAGGAGCAATGTGATCTTTATTTCATGTCCTGTTTTCCAATCAGCCTCTTCAAAAATATGGACTCAGAAAACCACACAAGGGTAGCAGAATTCCTACTTCTGGGTCTCTCAGAGGATCCAGAGCTTCAACCCTTTCTCTTTGGAGCGTTTCTGTCCATGTACCTGGTCACAGTGTTTGGGAACCTGCTCATCATCCTGGCCATCAGCTCTGACTCCCACCTACACACCCCCATGTACTTCTTCATCTCCAACCTGTCCTTCACTGACATCTGTTTCAGTTCCACCACAGTCCCAAAGATGATTATGGACATCCAGATACAGCATAAAACTATAAGTTACAAAGGCTGCATTATCCAGATTTGCTTTGTTCTGACTTTTGGTGGGCTGGAAAACTTTCTGCTTGCAATGATGGCCTATGATCGTTATGTGGCCATCTGCAATTCCCTTAGGTACACAGTCATCATGAATCCCCATCTCTGTATCCTACTGATTGTATTGTCTTTGTCAGTCAGCATTGTGGATGCACTGCTTCACACTCTGATGACACGGCAGCTGTCCTTCTGCACAGACCTGACAATCCCACACTTCTTCTGTGAACTTGCCCAGGTCATCAAACTTGCTTGTTCTGACACTTTTATCAATAACATCTTGGTATATTTGGTGGCTGGCATATTGGGTGTTGTTTCTCTTATTGGGATTATTTTCTCTTATGTTAACATTTTCTCATCCATCCTGAAAATGCCTTCAGCTAAGGCAAACTATAAAGCTTTTTCTACCTGTGGATCACATCTCTCAGTTGTCTCTTTATTCTATGTGACAGGTTTTGGGGTCTATGCTAGCTCTGAATTGACTGGGTCATCTAGTAGTTCTGCAGTAGCTTCATTGATGTACTCTATGGTCTCTCTACTGATGAATCCATTTCTCTACAGCCTGAGGAACAGAGACATGAAAGAAGCCTTGAAGAAACTCATCAGACTCATCAGGCTCATCAGCCTTTTTTGAGACTGTCTCATATGCTTTGACCTTGAGCTTCCAGAATGAATGAAATTACAGGAGCTTTGAGTGAGCCAACATAATAGACATTTCCACAACCAAGTCCACAGGCTTCAAAGTTTAGATGCCATAATGGTAAAGGATGTTTAAACTTATATTTGAAAACTGACCGTAGTGTTCTGTGGCACTGTAACTTGTGAAAATTCATGTGAAAATTCTGAGCTTGATTTCCTGGTCATTTTGCTTTGAAGCAAGAACACGAGCAAATGATTCTTTCTGTACCAATGAGGGGGTGCTTCTCAGGAGAATGTTAGTGACACAAAGACAATAGGTCAAAGGTAGGAGCTAAATAAGAGTTTCACTATGGGTAAAGAAACAGCCTCAAACTATTGATAGTACCATGTGTATGGTTCTCCAGAATTCTTCTTACCCGAAGATCTATTTTAATTCCTACTCTGATCTGTAGGTTTGCCACTTGTTCCACAACAATATATTGTCCTGACAGGCTTTTATTCTGTTTGGGGAAAACCTGAAACTAGAAGCATATGTTAACACAGGAACACCACAAGTTATCAAATGCCTGCATCAGATATCTCTTCTGTTCTCTTAATCTATCAGAAGCTATGTGACAATTTGATGCTGAAAGAAAATACTTCAAATATCTGTGTGGTTTCCTTTTTATGAAAAATAAACAACAAAAGTTTAAGTTACCATGTTAGGAACATGTGTTTCCTTGTCTGTGTGTGTGTGCATACATGTGTGTGCATGTGTTGTGGGAGAGGGTTTGATTCTTTTTCTTCCATTGAACTGCAATCATGAACCAATATGTCATGCAGTAAATAAAGGTTTAAAAAATGTTGTTGGTATATTCTTAGTGTACATAATACTTGTTTTCAACTCCTACATATACATATCAAATCTTGACAATTTTTACCTCTCCTCACTTTTTCTTTCTCCTCCTTTCCTCAGTTAACC